AGAGGGGAGGGAGGGAGGGGAGGGGAGGGAGGGAGGGAGGGAGGGAGGGAGGGAGGGGAACTTGTGTTGGATCGACTTTGTTGTTCCTTCAGTGTGCACATGTTGGTTTTGCTCGTTCTGACTGCATTCAAAGTATTTCGAACTGCCATATTGCTGCCTTTACGACCAAGGATACACTTCCATAGGAACCCCCGACAACACAAGACCAAATCCAGGCAACGATAAGACTTGACAGATTGTTTGAGATCATCTCGAATATGAGATCATGTTGGATTTTTGAACATGTAGAAAATGAGAATATGTTGAACGGGACATATGTCTTATCAGAAATTCAGATTTGCATGTTCCTGATTTTTTATGACAAGAATCATCATGTTGATGCAGAGAATTTTCAATCCTGACATCTCGTATATACAGCTCTGCTCAGGAGCGATGGCAAGTACGACGGTGCAGACAGACTTGGTGAAGAGATTTGGATGAGAGTTTCTTCATCTCTGCTTGACAGAAGCTTGCAGTGAATTGGGAGATGGAGAGAGCGGGAAGGGAAGGGAAGGTTGAGTCAGGTACACGAGTTCCAGCATTGAGAGAGATGGAGATGTTTTGATGACAAGGTGTTGGCTAGATGACAAGAAACTGTCCAATCAAGAAGTTTTACAAACACTGAAGCAAGTCAAGACGATAGGTGAATGGGTTTTCTCATCGAGAGTCTCTTTGTGGTGTGAGTGCGAAACAGGAATTTTGATTGTTGGCGACGAGATCTTGAAGGGAAAGGTGAAGTAACCAGATTGTTTTCCTGCTTGCTTGCTTTGTCGGTGATGGAAATTTGCCGAGAAAAGGTCGAAGATGAGAATTCTTTCTTCGCTATCAAAGCTCTGAGATCGCAAGGATTGTCGGTTGAGCGAGTTTCAATCGTCAGGTGAGAAGAAGTGCTGCTGCTGCTGCTGATGATGATGATGATGATGACGATGATGATGATGATGATGATGATGATGACGGGAATGATGATGATGAATGTGATGATGAATGTGACAATGGAGAATGATGATGAGAGTTGGTATGGTTAACGTAACACTTTGGCTCATTCGAAGTGTTCGATCTGCATGAATGATGTAGCATCATCTCGTTTGACTGTGACATCATCTACGTTTGTTCATCAACTCCTCCCCTCCCTTCTTCTTTGTCTTCTCGTTTGTTCTCCTCCTCGATTCCATCGGCACTGACAGGAAACCGCAGGGACGATGCGAGAGAGATAGGTGGGTTGACATGTATCATCAGCGGCATCACGATCAACAACAAACTCTATACCATCCTCGTCTTCAACATCCTCCTCCCTCCCCAGCTCCAGTTCCAGCTCTTGAAAATGCTCCTGATCCTTCCTTCTCCGCTCCCTTCTCCTCCTTGTCCTCCTCTCCTCTTCCTCCTTCTCGTCCTTCTCTCCTCTCCCTCCTCCTCGTCCTCCTCCTCGTCCTCCTCCTTGTCCTCGTCGCCTTCATGATCGTGACTGTGGCAGCGGATGAAATCCGACGGCTGAGCTCGTCCCTGGACCTTGTCATCAGCAGCGGAGGCGTCGGCCCAACCCACGATGACGTCACGCTCAAGGTGAGGACGAGGATTGAGGAGGAGTGAAGAGGGAGGGAGAGGAGGAGAGGAGGAGAGGAGGAAGTTGGGAGATGCAGAAGCAGGAGGAGGGGGGGAGGAGGCGGGCGGGAGGCATTTGGAGAGTGTAATCATGTTCAAGTGATCTTACGTTTATCCTGCTCCCTCCTGCTCTGCTGTCCTCTCCTCTTCTGTCCGCAGGCTGTTGCCTCTGCCTTCTCTTCTCCTCAAGAGTTCAATCAAGACATGTTATCAAGGTTGCCTAGAGTGCTCCAGGTCCTCCTCCTCCTCCTCCTCCTCGTCCTCCTCCATCTTCTCCCCTCTTTCTCCTTAATTGCATCCTCTTCTCTCGTTGACTTCACATGATCAGCTCCCTCCTGGTTCCGCGCTCTCCGAAGCAAACAGGCATGATCTCCCTCCCTCGCTCCCTCGCTCCCTCGCTCCCTCGCTCCCTCCTTCCCTTTTTCCCTCCCCCCTCCAGCTTCCCCCCTGCTATCGTTTTCTTCCCTCCTCCCTCCTGACTCATTCCCTCATACCCCGACCCCAGTCCTTCCTCCTACCTCTTTGTAGTTATCTCTCGTGCTTCTATTTTCTCCTCTTCGTCGATTTCTTCCTCCTTCTCTCCCCCTATCTTCCTTACCCCCCTGAATTCTTGCTACCCTTTCTTTCTCCCTCCTCCTCTCCCTCCTGCTATCCTCCCTCTACTTGCTTCCTCCTCTTTCCGCTCTCCCTCCTCCTGCTCTCTTTCTCTCCTTCCTTTCCCCTCCCTCCTTCTGTTTCCTCTACTATCTCTTATCGTTAGCTCACTTCATCGTAGAAACTTGCCTGGCTACCTCGATGCTCTTTTTTGCTTGACCCACCGACTGATGGCGAGGTGAATGACCTGCACTTGCTCCTGCTCCTGCTCCTGCTCCTGCTCCTGCTCCTGCTCCTGCTCCTGCTCCTGCTCCTGCTCCTACTCCTGCTCCTGCTCCTGCTCCTGCTCCTGCTCTTGCTCCTGCTCCTGCCTCCTCCCCTGCTGCTCTTCCCTGGTGCTGGTGCTGGTGCTGGTGCTGGTGCTGGTGCTGGTGCTGGTGCTGGTGCTGGAGCTGGAGCTGGAGCTGGTGCTGGTGCTGGTGCTGGTGCTG